TGTTGATTACAGAAAGCAAGAAAGGATCAGGAAGTCGTGTCAAAGAAGAAAAAGAAAACGAGAAGGAAAAGAAAGGCGATAGTAGGAAGGAATCGTTGGAAAATGGGAAGCTCGATCAACAGCGAGTAGATGATACTGCACTTGGTAAGAATTCTGGCTGACTTTTTTTATTTGCTACTTCCTGTAATTGTATGACATGCTGAGGAGCATATTTGCGATCATTTCATTTTCTTCAAGGATCTCGCCCTACAGGACCCGCGCTACCAGAAACTGATGCTGAATTTGCTGCAATATTAGGTTTGCTTGATATGCAGGATGACAGCTGTATGTCCGGCATTCTTGATAAGGTATTCTTCTTTTTTTTGAAAAGAATTTTTAAAGAGTGCTCATTATTGTACTTCTTAGGTCGCCACTGTCACTGAGGATACTTCCTCGTCTGCAGCGACTACAGGCAGTCGTTTGAGCCGTTTCTTCAATAAGAACAGTTCTCAATGTCAGTGTTTTTCATGTATTCTCCAGATTTGTTGTACTTTCTGAAAATTGACCCTTTACAGCTGGTAGCAATGCACAGAACTCTCGTACTAGCCAGGACGATCCTCAGTCCGCTAACCCTTTGTTGGCCAAAATCTTTGCTCAAACTCCTTCATCAGGAGGCCAAACACCTCAAAATTCTGCGCAGGTATACTTCTTTCTTTCTTCTCCAGTTCTTTAAAAAAATCAGGACTCATTAAAGGTTACGTTTACGTCTTTGTTTCTATTGAGTTATAGTTCCGGTACTAATATTTCAGAAGGTTTCCATTTTCAGGGAAATCCATCCATGCCGCCAACAGTGCCGGGTCCGGGCGGAGTACGTGCCATGAGACTGGAAGATCTGGAAAAAGCTATTAGTTCAAAGGATACTCGCGCTACTCCATCCTGGCTGCCCCAGTAAGTATAGCAGTTGTCATCTAAATTTATTCTTTCTGTTCGACACGATTCGGCTTGGTGGGCCATTTCGCTATCCGACGTGAGGCCGACCGGAGACGATGTGACTCCGTGTAGTTTACTTGTGAATTCCTGTTAATAAGGGCAGGGATCAGTAAGCTTCACTCAAACATGAGAGTTCAGAGGTCCTACCAAGGGGAGATGTGAGTAGGGTAATTCAGTAGGAACTAGCAAAAGAGAAGTGCAAATGCCCTTCCAGGCCGAACAGCGCCGTTGCTATTGATTATCCTCGCTTAGAAACATTCCGATCGTCTAGTTTCAAGTTCTCATTATGTGTTAACATTAGATAACCAAGGGCAATCCACTGCAAGATCCGAACCAACAGGCACATCTTCTCAGCAGACTGCAGAACTTTGCAAAACAACAGGTATCTTTTATTGTTTCAGTCCAAAATGCCCTTTTTTATGGTTTTCACGAATTTCACAGCCTGGGGTTATTAAAGTGGGTGAAAACGCGAACTTGCTAATGAATCGGCATACACTTCATATCTGAGTGAGAGGTAGGGTGTGGCTGCGTGCTTCCTTTGAACGTGGCTACGGTTGCGCTTCTGGTAAGACATTTTCGTTTTGGAAATTGTATTTATGTCTTGAGACAGAATGATAGCTCTCACAAATCAAAATAACCACGAGAAACGCATCTTATGCCTTGCTAAAATAGAGTAGAAAGTCACACCCTCTCCATCTCCGTGATACGAAGTGTAAATTATAGTGAAAGAAAACTGTAGTCCATTTCCTGGAAAATTTATTCGCAAAATTGTCGGAAACGACTTTACTAACCATATGTATAGTATGACAGAAGGTCTCACATTTTCAGGAAGAGAACGCTCCGCTGCCAAATAGTGGTCCAAGTCCTCCTGCTCCAAATTTGGCTCCTTCAGTTGGTGGAGTATTTCCACCTGGGGCGACGCCATTCCTTCCTCCAGTACTTCCTCCAGGAGCCCCAATTGTGCCTCCTGCTCTGCTTGCTCGTGAGTTAATTTAGCATCCTCTACGAAAACGTAGAGCATCTACAGTCGAAGGATTTGCAGGTATGGCCGCGGAAAATCCTGCTTTGGTTCAAGCCCACATTCAAGCTCAACTTCATCAGGCAATGGCTGCACAGTTAGCAGCAAATGGAGGTGTCGGTGTTCCTCCCGCTCATATGCGTGAGTGGTTGTTCATGTTATTTTTATATTTGCAGGTTTAGTTACTTGCTTGAGCCTTGCTGAACTTATTCCTCTTTCTTCCCCTCTTTGAGCTGCTCTGGAGATGAATTAGGAGTTTCTGTCCACGGCACCGTTTCGGTGCTCGCCCCGCCCACTGTGGGTGGGGCTTGAAGAGCCTCAGGGGAGCCAACGATATACAGTGGATCGTCTGGATAGGAGGCGAAACGGACCACCAGCTTCGCATATTTATCTCTTAAACAATTTCTTTTCTTTTCTCAATCATTAGCAGGAACAAGATTTCCAGAGCACACATTAGTGGGTCATGTGTGCTCTCTACATCTTATCCCATGCCCTGTGAAACCTTCTTCCCGTGGAAGCACTAGAACCCTGCAGATGAGACATAGGAAACTGAACCCTTCCTTTATGCACTAATTTATGATCACTCGGAAAGCGACTCCATAATTGAATGTCAACCTGTTTTCACTTGTCGTTCCTCCTCCCCCCCCTCCTCATCCCTCTATGAAATCTTGCCTACACATGTTGCCCTATTTGTTTTTCGTTATAGTTATATATCCGTTGTTCATGACATCATTTTCTAGATGATCAAATTCGAGCGACTCTTCTGCGTCTTCAACAACAACAACTCGTCGCCGCTGCGGCTGCACAGGGCAAACTGGGGAAGGTGAGTAGGAGTCAGGGCTAACCTTCATCCATTCAAGAAATCTTGTGTATGTACAAGGCCGATTTTAGTGGTAATATTTATAGTCCCTTTCATTCCCATTCGGTCTTTGAAATTTGTTTGGGTAAAATATCTCTTCGATTCTCCTGAACAGGGTACAGAATCGGGATGGCTGAAATTATAGTGTCAATATGACCCCCTTCCCTCTCCTAATTTCCTACTTTAGTATCCTCTTGCAATCTAACACGCTTTTCAAATCTTTCCAAACTTCGGGGGGGGGGGGCTATAGGGTATATAGCAGGGAAAGTTAACAACCAGAAAATATCGCTCAGCGCCGGATATGGCACTCCTTCCCCAGAGAGCAGATACGCTCTCCTAATGACTGTCGCACAACGATGCCTTGATCTTGAGGTCTACGTTTTGTATGCACATTTATTTTTTCTAAGCCTTCTTCCGTTTGTACAATAATTTGTAATTGTATTCTCTGCCAATTTAAGTTTCTTGTTGTTCCATTCGTGCCATCATTTCCCATCACAGGTTCGACCTCCGACCCAGATGATTCCATCATCAGTACAGCGTCAAATGAACAAAGCAAGCACATCGCAAGCAGAAGAGACTGTTCATCGAGGTTCGAGGACTGATCAGGATGCGAGTCCTACACATATGGCGGAACCAGGTAAGGCTCCAAAATTTTTTTTAAATTGAACTGGACAAAAATGTGGTCCAGAATTTGCTGAGCGTGTTGCACGGAAACAAATTTACTTTCTGAACTACGTGAAGTAATGTGTACTTGTTCCTTGTAGATGTTCTGGAAGCAGCTGCTCGAAATAACGCTGATATGCTGAAGAAAATGCAAATGCAACATCAGTATGCGGCCATGATGAATGCGATGCAGGGTGAATTTCGATTCTAACTAAAATTAACAATAATTATATTATTAACTAATTGATGTTGTAAGGGGAGGATTTTGTAGGATATATACATTATTAATTGAAACGTTCAGCAAGGGGTCCATGTTTCTGTTTCTGATTCTATTCCCAAAGTCTTTGTCTGAATATTTATATTATTTTTTTTTCATTTGAAATAGAGACGTGTA